GGCCGCTGGGACGTGTGACAAAGCTTCCGCACCCCTGAAGTGTGGATGGGGGGTGAGTGCCGTGCCCCCCCCCCGGCCACCCAGGCCACCCGGACAGCCCACCGTTGGACGCTGGGGACGTGCTTCCCTCCACCCCCGGGGGTTTGTCAGTCCTGTCTCCTCGTGGTTTTGTGAGTGTTTTCTCGTTGAGGAGCGCACTGAGACACACACAGACTCGCAGATCTGGGGACATGGGTCCCGAGGGTGCCTAACTAGGGCACCGGGTGCCCCGGGGTCTCACCCCCATCAGCATCCTGGGAACAGTGGGCACGGGAACCTATGTCCTGTCTTGAAACTCGGACTGCAGTGGGCAGTGGCAGGGATGATGCCCCCGAGGGACGGGCACTCCACACTCTCAGGTTTGTCCCAGTGACCCGCCGTGACCGGCTGTGACCCGCCGTGACCCACTGTGACCCGCCATGACCTGCTGTCACCCGCCGTGACCCACCATGACCTGCCGTGGCCCACCGTGATGAGCTGCTTGCTGGCGTGTCCTCACTCTTACTAGGCACAGAGCCCTGGACTCCGACTCTCAGGTTGGGGGCGCCCAGCATGTTCGGGTCTTGGCCTTGACCCCCGTGTTATCCTGTGAAGGTTCTGGCTAGGCTGCTGTGCTCCTCTGTCACTGCTGTGTCCCCTGGGACTGGAGAGCCCTTCTTGTCCCCACTGGTCCTTGCGTTTCTGTCTGTCCCCGCGCGTCCCACAGGAAGGCCTGCCCTGTGCACTTACACTGGTGGGGACCCAGCCCAGGGGGGACCAGCCCAGGGCCGATGCCAGGAGTGTCCATATTGAGCTCAGAGTGTGGCAGCTGTGTCCCCTGTGTCCGTGATGGTCAGGGCGCTAGTGCGGGCCGAGGCAGTGGGAGGAAATGCCAGGAGGGGGATTGGGTACTGGCCACTCTGCTCCTGGCCTGAGTCTCCAGCTCCAGTCCCTGGCGGGTGGCCCTCTGAGGACGGGGGACAGCATGAGGATGGCCATCTGAGGCCCTCTCCAGGCCAGCAAGCCCCTCCTGAGGACTGAGGGCCTGTCTCCCCGTAGGGCCGATGGAGAGCAGTCACTGTCATCGGTGTGGCCGCACCTGGCAGACGCCTGCCTGAGCAGCGGCACCAGGCCAGGCTGGACCTCGGGGCCTGGGGCTCTGGACTCCTGCGAAGGAGGAGCTCTGGGAACCAGCCGGCGGGTTGCAAGGTCTCAATTAAAATGACTTTCCATGCAATAGCGCAACGAACCTGAGAAGGTTTCTGCACAACTTGCTTTGAGGACGTGCTCACAGCCCTTCCGGTGACTGGACTCAGGTGTGGGTGGTGGCAGCCCGCCCCTGGGGACTGGGCTGGGGATCGTGAGGGGCTGGTGCCCTGCCGCCAGCCTGGGCGATGAAACCTCGGGGACCAGTTTCTGTAGAGTGTGCAGGGAGAGGGTACAAGGGGCTCACCTTGTCGAGGTGTGGGGTCTTGGGACAGAACCCCAATGCCAGGCCAGCCCAGAGCCAGTGCCTCAGGGGACCGTCGCAGTGAGGGGGGCGGCACCAGGCTTGTAGCCTGTGGGCCGAGGTGAGCGTCCCCAGCCCCTTCCCCCAGGGCCAGGTACAATGCCCGTCTGGACTGCAGCCCACGCGGGTGCAGCAGAGAGGCCCGGGGTTCCACGGTGGCTGTGGCCGCTGGTGCTGGAGCAGGGACGCGGTGTCCAGGCACGGCCTTGTCCTGGTCCTGTGGGTGCCAGCAGGCCCTTCAGGGCCCTGATCTGACAGACTGGCCTGCAGGGCCCCAGATGTCCTGACCAGTGGCTCCCAGACCCATCTCTAGCCCTGTTGTCTCCCCGCTGACCATTGCTGTCCCGGGCTCTGGGAGCTCCCCTGGCTGGAGGACAGTCCCGTCGGGGTTGGCTTGGCCACCAGCAGGGCCCGGAGGGGGGCTGCGGGCATGAGTGTGTTTGCCCACTGCCAGGCCGCAGGGAGGAGCCGAGGCCAAGCTGGAGGTCAAGGGGCCTGAGCGGGCAGTGCGCTCCCGGGGCAGGGGAAGAGCAGGGACGGGCCCGTGGCCACAGCCTGGCCCTGCAGACGCCCTGCCCACCCGCAGGGGAGCAGGGGACGCTCACCTCGGCCCACTGGCTACAAGCCTGGTGCCGACCCCTCACTGCGACGGTCCCCTTAGCACCCCAAGCCTCTCACCGCCCTAAGCGCCGCAGGGGGGGACGCTCCCCAGGCGGGAGAATGCAGCATGTGCTGTGGACCCCGTCTCTGGTTCCTTCCCACGGCCACCCCAGGACAGACCTGCGTCCACGGCACCTGCTCTGGGTCTCAGCTTGGAGTGGATGCACGTGCAGGCCTCGAGGGGAGCGCTTGGCGGCCTCGTCATTCCGACCCCAGCATGGCGGCCTCTGGGGATGATGGTGTCTGGCTGACAGTTGCCGCTGACACACCTGCCTGGGTGAGGGTCTTCTGAGACGTGCAGCCCTGCCAGTGCCCTCACTGTGGCCGCCTGGCCGCCCCCTTCCACGCGGGGATCTAGGCTCAGGTGTTCCCACGTGCCTGGGCAGGTGTTCTCACGGCTCGTGTGCCGATTAATGCCATCGGCGGGGAGTCGCACAGCTGGTTGGTGACTTACTTAGCAGCTGGGACTCACGGTGTCCAGGGAAGCAGGAGACGGGTCTCTGCTGCCCACTGACATACCCCGAGGACTCTGGAGCCCGGCCGGGCGGTGGTGAGGAGTGACCCCTGTCTGCCAGCAGAGCTTAAAATAGCGGCAGGACAGAGGCCTCCCAGTTGCAAATCACAACGTCCAACGGGCCTGTGAGCCCCGGCGTCTGCCGTGCGCCTGGCCGGCTCACACACATGCTTCCCGTGGTCGCGTCTTGTGGCAAGAGGAGCATCGTGTCCGCCCAGCCCTCTTCCCGCTGCTGCATTTGTCCACTTGCCCGGTTCATGTCCCCTCGGTTCTCTGAGCGGCTGTAATTCTTCCTGTAATCGGCTCATGGAAGTCCAGGCCTGCGGCCGAAGCCTTCCAGGGGTGGCGCTGGGCACTGCCCCCAGTGGGGTTTTGCTCCACATGGCGAGGGGCCCCAGCGTCCAGGGAAGAGATTCCCAAGAGACCCCACTGGCCTCCTTCGTCCTGCACCTGTGCTGTGCCCCCAGCAAACCCTGTGTGCCATCAAGGGCAGGCTCTGGCCACCGCACACAGTCCCGCTGAGCCCAGGGCTGGGCGTACCCAGTGCCCACCACCGCCGCCGCACCTGTGGCTCCTGGCACTAACTCAGACTCGGCACCCCCAGGGTCGAGGGTGGGCTGGGTGGCTCTTGGATGCTCTATGTGCTTTGTCCGGCCAACTTGGTGATGCCTGATTTGGACCTGGCTCCCTGGGTGGGCTGGGGACCCCCACGTGACACAGGTGACAGAAAGGCAGGGACAGTCTTGTGCAGTGAGCTGCCTGGAGGACCCAGGGTCTGCTGGGAGGAAGGGCCTGCAGTGACAGCAGTAGCGTGGACGAGGAAGGACACTGGGGCTGAGAAACGCTGTCTGGGGGTCACAGGTGCCGCCTGCTTTCCCTCTGCAGGGAAGGGACGGCCCCTCCCCCCACCTGCCCTTCAGGCCCCTCAGGATGGCGTCTTTTCTCCGTTGTTCCCTTGTTCTGAGGTGCACCACCCCCCACGATACTGTCCTGTCTCACTCTCGGCCCCCACGTGATGGGCGGGCTGGGCCCCTGCATCTGGGCATCTGTATGAGGTGGTTTTCCCAGCTGGTGGGATCCCCTCGGGGCACCGTGCCATCTGCGTCGCTCGCATCATGGGCCCAGGGTCCAACATCGTGGACAGTATACAGCAGGTGCCTCCTGTTTGCCCAGGGAATGGAGGCGCAGGCCATGAGCGAGTGGGACCTCTGGTGGTTCTCCGGAGGGGACATGCAGGTGGGGCCGTGGCTGCGTGGCTGGGGGCAGCTGGTGTCCTGGCCCAGGGAGGGACCTGCACGGCTAAACGAGGGACGACCTCCCGTCTCCCATGGGGCGAGGTGGCCAGTTTCCGTCTGTCCACCCTCCGTCCACAGCTGACACCGTCTTTATCGTCCGAGTGAGCATGTGGCACTTAGCGGAGGGCACCGGTGTCCCAGGCAGAGGGATGTCCTGCGGAAGGCGGGGTTCTTCCTCTGCCGGGATGTGGACCCCCTGGGCCCTCGGCCGGATGGGCACCCCCGCTGGGATTTAGGAGACAGGAGGGGAAGGGGAAGCCACTTCACTGGTTGACTTGTCCCGTTCAAGGTCACCGAGTCCTTTCTGTGTGTGCTGCGCTGGCCCAGAGACAGACCAAGGCCCTAGGTCCCCGCTGTCCCCAGTACCGTGCCCACGAACTCTGAGGAGCTGCGGCCGAGTCCACGTGGGGAAGCAGGAGTGAGGGGCACATGCAGAAGCGTGTGTGCACATCTCACATGCGTACGTGTGTGTGCGTGTGTGTGGTGCACCAACCAGCCTGTGTGGGGGACAGGAGGTCCCGGATGGCCCGGCGTGGCCGGTGACGGCCGCGTCCCCGCTGCTCTTGGCCAGCCCCGTGTGGCGGGGTTTTCTCCCTCACCCTCGTCCACAGACCCGGCGAGGGTCTTCGCTGCATGCTCTGCCCTCAGGCCAGGCTGCGTGGAGACCCGGGGGCCCAGCCTGGATTCCGACAGCCCTGCTCCGTGCAGGCCGGCTCCTTCCATCAGACTCCTGACTGCGTCACGCGGCCCTGTCATTCCCGGGCGTGGCAGCCCGGGCCACGTTTAATTTCCTGGCTGCCCGTGAGCTGTGTGGAGCGGAGCCCGCGGGCTTGACCCGGCGCCAGCGCTCGGGGAGCGTGTTCCCGATGGCACGGGCCTGAGACGCACGCGCTGGGGACGCGGCCTGCCTCCCTGTGCCCCCAGGGCCCCTCCGCGGGCGGGAGGGCTGCGCGGCCCGTCCCCTCGCAGCAGACACTCAGCGGCGTCTGTGTCTCTCTTACAGGTCAGCTGGCCGCTGGCACCTGTGAGATTGTGACCCTGGACCGGGACAGCAGCCAGCCTCGGAGGACGATCGCCCGGCAGACGGCTCGCTGCGCCTGCAGAAAGGGGCAGATCGCGGGCACCACGAGAGCCCGACCCGCCTGCGTGGACGGTAAGAGCCCACAGCCAGGGACCCCGTCGAAGGCAGGGGCGGCGAGGTGCCACCTGACACAGCGCGCCCCACCCCTGCCCCAGCCCGGGTCATCTGCGAGGGCCTCCCGTTCTCTGGGTAGGGCCTTGGGCTGCGCAGTCCCGATGGGGTGATGGCGCCGGGGTAGCGTTGGCTCGTTTGCGGTGTGGTGTCTGTGGTGCTGCGGGGGCATGCGGGGGGCGGGGAGCCTGGGTGCCGGGCGTGCCCGCAGGGACTTGCTGGCCCCCTGGAGTTGCCGTGGGCAGAGGGGAGCGGAGGCCATGCCTCACATAGGATGGCTGTGGCCCGGACGCCATTACGTCCATCACCTGTGGCTTCTCGCTGAGGCTGCCCGCAGGGCGTGGGCTCCTCCTGCTTCGGGCTGGGCAGGCGTCAGGCACCCGTGGTGACCCCATCCCCTCGGGTATGTGGGAGTTGGCGACAGCATCCCCGCGGCCACCGGATCAGGCTGTCCAACAGCTGAGGGGCGCTGTGTCTGGGGATTGTCTTTGAAAAAGAATCAGATATTCTAGAGGAAGCGCAGGGAGCCCTCACAGCGGCTGTCCAGGCAGCTGCGCCATCCAGGTCGAGGGGGGTGCTCTGTGTGGCCCAGTAGGAACCCTGGCCCCCCGCGGCACTCAGCATGGCCTCCCCACGGGCTAAGAGCACCAGAGGCTGGCCGGAGCCCTGCCCGGAGCTCTGTCACTGGAGAGGGTGGTCTTGTGGGGTCGGCGGGCTCCCTGGGGTCGGCAGCCCCATTCAGGGGTGTGCTGCAGCCTTGGTTCCTTGGGGAGCTGCAGGATATATGGTCACCGCACGATAAGACAGCCAGGTCCTGCGGTCACCCCTGCCGTTTGCTCCCAGGAGCCTCTGAGTGGAGCTCTGGGCGCCAACCCCATCTGGCCGCCTTTACCCGGGAGCCCCTTCCTGCCGATCCATGACCCCGGGACCCACTCCGTCCTCACGAAGGTCTGCTGAGGAATGCAGCAGGTGCCGAGCACGGGACTAGGACATCTTCGGGGCTCAGGGCACGGAAATGCACTAGTGGTGATGGTGGGGCCACTCCGGGAGCGAGGGCAGCTTTCTCATGGGCCAGGCAGCCCCCAGCGTGGCCCCCAAAGTCACAGTGGCCCTCAGGGCAGGAAAGAGGAGAGCCACAAGGCCCCCTTACAGGGTGGAGACCGACTGGCTTGGGGCGCCCCTGCCCCCAGCATCACCGAGGAGACTGTTTGAGGACATCTGGGGACATGGTGGGGCAGTGAGTCTGCCTGCACTTCCAGCGGCTCTGGGCCTCTGGCAGGGTGGGCGGGGGGGGGAGGGTAGCAAGCCTGGCCCCACCTCGCCCCATCCAGGCATCCCATGAACCTTTGGGGCTGAGCCGGCTGCTCCGCCTGGCCGAGGGGGGCCTGCAGGACCCAGAGTACCCTGAAGGCCCAGCCGGGCTCCCAGTGGCCCCACCCCAGCCCAGCCCCTGTGTCGGCAGCCTCCTGACCCCCACGGCCACGTGCCAGCCCCCTGCACTGCCAGCTCTGGTGCCGGGGTCGCAGGCACACAGGAGCGTCTGGAGGACCTGGCGCTCTGAGGAGCTCGTCCCGGAGGCTGGGTTTGTCTTCCAGACGTGTCCGTCCGTAGTAGAAGCACCTGTCGGTCGGCATCCCTAGAAGGCGCACGCTTGGGCCGGCAGACGGGGGCTTCTCCAGGCCGCCTGGGCATTCGGGAACTCTGGCTGCGGGCCCGATTCCGCGTGAATTCGGGCCACTGAGCTGTACTCGTCCCCACGCTTCCTGCCCCGTCCGGCTCCCAGACCTGGAGCCGCTGCTGGTGACAGGGCTGCTCCTCCTTGCTAAGGCCGATTCTGCCCCAGGCGGGGTGAGGGCCACGTGCCCAGCGGGCGCTCCCAGCGGCGTCCCTGCCTCTGTCCTCGTTAGTCCCGCGAGCCTGCAGGGAGGCTTGGGGTCGGAGCCGGCGACTCACAGAGTCCGGGTCTGCTCCTCTGCAACCTTGTTCTTGCTCCCCCCGCGAGCCTCTCCGCACCTCAGGAGCGGCTCCGGAGACCCAGGTTAAACCCGGCCGCTTCCGGGGGCGGCGGGACAGAGGGGTCGGCTCGAGTTCTGCACGGCGGGCGTTTTCCCAGCGGCCCTCGCATTTAATTTTTGCTCTTCTGGTTTCCCGCTCTGTGTGCGTAGTTTCCTCACGTGGGACGGAGCCCGCGACAGAGAAGACCTGAGCCTTCCTGGGGGGCGGCATCCGTGCGAGCCGGACTGCAGCTGGGGGCGTAGGCTGACCCTAGTTCGCTCCGCGGGGGCGCTCGGACGTGGGAGCGCTCCTGCGTCTGCGCACCTGTTTGCTCGTTCACTGACTTGTTCATTTACTCCTTCCCTCATTCGTTCGTTCAGACACAGTGTGTGCTCCGGGGGGTTGACTCTGCTGGGGGCTGGGGCCCAGACTGTGGGGCAGGGCCTGTGGGTCCCCGGGGCACCACCTTCTTTTCTTGGAAGGCCTGGGACCCTGTCAAGGGTCTGCAAGGGGCATTTGAACAGGGTATTGAAGGATGCAGAGGAGCTCGCCAGGGAAGCTTCTCTTCCGGAAAGGAGGGGGCGACTCCTGGCTGCGTCTTTGAGCCCCAAGCGTTTCTGGGGGCATGACTGCCCAGCCTGCACTTGGCCGCACCGTGACCCACTCCGCCTGCGCGCAGTCCTTCCTTCCACCTTAAATGTCGGGACCAGAGGCTCCGAGGCGAGCCGCAGTCCTCTCTGCCAGGCCATGTGTCCTCAGCACAGTTCAGGCGCTCCAGCTTGCCCCCGGGGTGTCCTGGTCGTGGACACCGCAGTCCGTGGTGTCTGGGCATGCTGTGGGCCTGCACCCGCAGTGGCAGCTCCAGGAAACCCCGAACTCCCCTCGCCCTGTCGGCAGGAGCGTGCAGGCCCTGTGCCTCCGCAGGACTGCCGTGAGGGCCAAAGCCCTTCTTGAAAGGAAGCAAAGTAAAGGAAGCGGCTGCGGCCCTGTCCCTGGCTACGGGGGAAGGGAGAGATGTCCCTGGGACCCTGGGGCGGGGGCCCCAGGTCTGAGCTCCACACAGGCCTGCCCTGAGGGCCGCAGCCTGTCTGAGGAGCAGGAGGGTGACTGGCGGGCACTCTGGCTAGAGAGGCTCTGAGGAAGTGACAGGTCCTGTCGGCACCCAGCCAGCCATGCGCTCCGATGGCCCTGCCAGGCTCCTGGCCGAGAAGCCCACCTGTCTTCCAGGGGGCCTTGTCCTTTGTCCCCAAGGAGGGAACACAGCACGCCATGTGCCTGTGCGGGAAGTTCAGAACTGTAACGTACCCCTCCTTTCCAGGGGTGCCTGGGTGCCGGGAGTCCTGGGGGCGGAGGGGGGAAGGTGTCGTCTGCAGTCCCCTGTGTGCTGGCCAACGGATGCTGGCAGGCTGGGCCCCCGTCTCCATCTGCAGACCAGACACTGTCAGCTCTGCGTGTCGGGTACAATGTGTAGACGCCTCTTCTAAGCACTACCTGCTCTACCCAACCCAGGGAACCACGGACCGCCGTCCGTTCTTGCCAGCAGTGGGTGACACACGTGTCCTAGTTGTGGCCTGGGTGCCCTGCCGACGACGACGTGCAGAGCAGGGGCAAACGTTGGGGGGTTTGTGCATGGACGAGGGCTGTGGTTCCAGATGAGCGTGGGACCCTCCGTCCAGGGGAGGGAAAGGTCTAGAGATAAGGCCCCACGGATTCCATCCGCAGCCCTGTGACGGTGGTGCTGGGACCCCTGGAAGCCACACGGCCAGCGCTGAAGCTAGACCCCGTCTCCCACCGTGGACGGAAGCCAATGTGACATGGGCCATAGACCGAATCCATAGAAGTCTTAGAAGAAAACAGGGGGACTCTTCACGACCTGCGTTTGGCGAAGGATTCTTAGATCCAGCGCAAAGAGCATGAGCAACGAGACAGAGAGAGCGGGTAAGGGAGAGAGAGCGGGTAAGGGAGACTCCGCCACGACTAGAAGCCCGTCTGCTTGGGAGAACACCGCCGGGCCGGGGAAAGGCCAGCCCACGCAAGGGGAGGGAGCATTTGCCCGTAAGGCATCTGGCGACGGACTTGTCTCCGAACACACAGATCTTCCGTGATGAGATCAACAAAGGGCCGATAGCCCGTTACGAAGCTGGCAGACGACCTGAGTAGCAGCTGCTTCTAGGAAGATCTTCGTGCAAATGGCCGCTGAGCACACGGGAAGCTGCTGAGCGGGGCTAGCACTCGGGAAGAGGCAGACTGGGCCCCCGGAGCACGCCGTGGCATCCCCACCGGTGTGGGGGGACACCAGCACCGGAGCACCGGCTCAGGGAGCAGCACCGAGTCAGGCCATCCCAGGACCCTCGTGCGCCGCGGGTGGGAAAGCGGAACCGTGCGGCTGCTCGGGGAACCGGTCCGGCTCCGCGGTGTGCTGTCACGTGGCTGGGCGGTTCCGTGCCTCGTGGGACCCCCGGTGCCCGCTGAAGAGCAGGGAAAGCGTGTGTCCCCAGGAACCCTTGCACACGGGTGTTCTCAGCGGTGTAAACCCGCCGGAAGAGTGGAAACGCCCCGAATGCCGGTCCGTGGACAAGTGACCAAGCGGCGTGTCTGAGAAGCGGAACACGGTTGAGCCAGAAAAAGGAGTGACGTTCCACAGCCTGGAGGGACCCGGAACCAGAGCTGCCGGACACGGAAGGACAGATGTGGTGTGAGTCCGATGACACAAATGTCCGGGACAGGCCAGCGTGCACAGCAGGAAGGACACGAGTGGTAGCAGGGGCGCTGCCGGGCGGGAGCGTCGGGGAACAATCGGCCGCGAGCCCAGGGCTGCTTTCCAGGCCGGGAGCATGTTGTCCGCCGCTGGTGGGGGCACAGCTCTGTCCATGAGGACTGTGGGCGGCGCGCTGCGGCTGGGTGTGTGACTCGCGGCGCCATGACGCGGTCTGCATTCCAGGAGGAAGGTGGCCGGTGGGGCCGCG